CCGTGAGCCATGGCCGCTGAGCCTGCGCGTCCGGAGCCTGTGCTCCGCAACGGGAGAGGCCACAACAGTGAGAGGCCCGCGTACCGCACAAAAAAAAAAAAAAAAAAAAAAAGTCCTTTGGCAAGATGCCTCCTGAGCCAGCGGAGGAAACTTGGGGCCGGTGGAGATCAGTGACTCCCTTGTAAGCAGGGCCAGCAGCATAATTTGCGCGGTCCCGTCGTGCACAATGACAACGCAGGGCCCCTTTTGTTCAAAAACTCTTTAAGACTTTCAAGACTGGGGCTGTAGCTCCTCAAACCAAGTGTGGGGCGGCAGGGTCCCGTGCTCATGAAGCCCGCCCTGCTTGGCTGGGTCCCCAGTGGATGGGGAAAATACTTGCTTAACGTCCAGGAGTCAAGGAGCCTGGGAGGCCTTCTAGCTCCCCATATGGATGCTGTGTTCATCCCTAAAAACACATTTCTGTTTCCTCCCGGCCAGCAGGTCTGCCAAAGGACCAGCAGGTCAGGTGGTGGTTCGGGAAGCCGGCATTTTGTCCTTCCTGTGTTTTAGCACGACATCCCTCTCCATCACACCCACGTTATTTCTGACGCTGTTCTGCTTCAACGGAGCCAGAGGAGTGGCGCGTGTTGAATGCGAAAGATTAACGTTCACTTGGGCAGCGGAACACCGACGTTCTACTGGGGACGAGGCACCAGCCAGGGGCGCAGAGCATCCCTCCATCTCTGCGGAGCTGGGTGCCAGCTCTGCGCGTTAATTCAGGCTCTGCCCTCCTGGGGGCGCCGTGCCCCAGCTCTGAGCCCCCGGGGACGGGGAGCCGGCAGCGGTGCGCGCCCGCACCCCAGGGTCTGTCTCCGCCGGAGCCTTTCGCGGTGCTGATACGCGCCCCCGCGCCCCCTGCCGGGTGCTGCACCGGACATCCACCCGCCCGCACCTCCGAACCCCCTCCCGCACCGGCTTCCAGAAAGCTCCCGGTGCTTTCTACCGCATTCTTTGGGCGTGAGTCATGCAGGTTTGCAGCCAGCCCCAAAGTGGGTGTATACGCAGCAGAGCGCTATAAATACGAGCGCCTCACCGTGCTGTGCACGCGGCGTCGCCAGGAGGAGCGCGCGGCCACCGCTGACCGGTGAGATGTCCCCACCTTTCCTGCCCCTGCGCAGAGCCTGGCCGGGACTGATGAGCGGGCGGGGGGCGGCACCCAGGCGAGGAGAGGACGGCCACTGGGAGTCACAGGGCTGTCAGAGGGGCGCTTTAGATGGAGTCGCGGATCCAGGGAAGGGAGGTGGTCGGAGCCCCATCACCAGACAGCCGAGCCGGGACCGAATTGCCGGCAGACAGGCAAGGGACTCAGGAAGCCCTTTGTTCATCAGCTCCAGCCACAATTCTGTGGAGTAAACGGGATAGATGTAAGTATCCTCCTTTTGTAAAGACGTGGGAATTGACACTTGGAGGACTGACGCTGTTGCCCGAGGCCAGGCTAGTGAGTGGCAGAGCTGGCCTGCACTTGCAGCCTTCCTGCAGCATCTTCCTTGGAAAGGTACTGATCTCCAGGGGTGGTTGTCAGCTTGCGCGCATGAGTCATCTTGTTTGCTCGCGAATTCTCTAGTTCTCTGGATTGTGTGTTTATAAGTAATGATGTTTTGATTTAAGTATATGTTGCAACCACTGAAATCCCACTCTTTCTGCTTCCTAATGCACCAGGGTACATCAGAGAAACATCACAAAACCTTCATCAGACTTCAGACATCTGATTCAACTGTCTCATTTTATAGATGATAATCTGAAGCCTGGAGGGGTTTAGGACCATCTCCAAAGAATAGGTATCAGAATTGGGATTAGAACCCAAGCCTTGACCTTCCAGAATTTCTGGACCTAATGAAAAAAAGAAACTTATTATTATTTGTTTTAAGAGTGAAGTTTGGAATTTAAGAGTAAGTACAGATACTATAAAAGGATGCTCGCCAGAGTGTTCATGATAATAATAGTGGGAAATTACAGACAATTTAAATGCCCGGCCTCGTGGGATGGCAAAATAAAGTACATCAGAAAAAGGACTCTTACACAGCCACAAAAGTGTGCTTTTAGAGAGTATTTGAAGATAGTGGATGTAAAGGATCCGATTGTATGCAAATGCATAGAAAAGAGGAAATATACCACAGTGCTAATGTTTGCCTCTCTATGGTGTGAATTACAGGTGAATTATTTTCTCATTTTTCTTTTTGGTTGAGTTTTCTGCATTTGGGGAGGCAGTAGGAGAGGAGCTTGGGCTTTGGGCTTTAAACCCTGCAGCTTACTAGCTGCGTGACCATGTCCTCCCCACGGCTTCCTCTGGGGAAAGGAGGGCCTTGGAGTGGCTTGTTCAATCAGAGCAGTTGGCAACCAGGCAGCCTGGCCAGGAGATGGGTGGGGAGGTGAGTCAGTGCAAAGGGAGGGCAGTTTGGCTGAGCAGCCGCTGTTCTCCTACTGTCCTTGGACTAGTATCGATATCCCCTGCAAGCTTATTAGAAAAGCAGTCTCTGAATCAGAATCAGCATTATAACAAGACTCCCGGGTAATTCGTAGGAGCTGATCACATCACTGAGGCAAAGCCCACAGTCGGGGAGGGACCACAGGTGACCTTTGTGTACCTGCTTCAGTTCCTCTGTCCCTCTCCCAACACACCACCTCCTCCCACTTCCCCGATAGATACTGCCAATGCCCGTGATTGATCCTACGTCAATTTTGAAGGAGTCGGAATTTCCTATGATTACATAAGACCCTTGGGTTTACAGAACACATTCCCATCTCGAAGGTCTCTATTAGGTCCATTTTACAGGTGAGGAAATCGAGGCTTAGAGATTTAAGTGACTGGGTGTCAAGGAAACAGCACTGGACTGGGGTTTGGGAGGGCTGAGTTCTCATCCTGGGGTTCCCGCCAGCTTGCTGCAGGCCTTGGGGAGCCCCATCCTGTCTCTGGGTTCGGCCTCCCCTCTGAGGTGGAGGGATTGGGCAGGAGACAGGTCTCTCTCCCAGCTCGGAACTCGATGGCTCCCATGGCCCCCAGGCTCTTGGTGGGAGATCCTGTACTGACCGCTGGGATTCCAGACTTCTCATCCAGAGCTCTTGCCTTTGGCTGTCCTGTCTCTCTTTTCCTCAGGACCCAATGCCCTGTCTTCTGGTCCCAACCTATTTCAGAGGCGCGTGTCTGGATTTCTCAGAAGTCTTTGCTATCGGGGGCCTCTGCTGGAGGGGTGTTTCTCGCCAGCTTTCTCTCTCTGGCGTGACAAAGGCTCTGTCCCTGTTTGAGGCGTTTCAGGCTTCAGTGAGCAGCTAGGGCAGAGCCACGCAGACCTGAAATAGCACCCTGGCTCAGCTGCCCACTCACCATCTCTGGGTGACCCGCTCTCTTCTCCCACGCTGCTCGGGAACCACAGCCTGGCTGCCTTACTAATTATGTCTCAGGAGCTTGCCTTATTAATATTCTCGCAAGGGTCCAGATGGGCCTGCTGAGCAGAGAGCATCTTCTGGATGTGCATCATTTCAGGAAAGGGAGACCCCCTTCCCATTCTCTTAGGGAAAACGGGTGAGTTCAGATGAGCATTGGGGTGAAGGGCAGTGCAGGGGGAGGGGTTTCTGTTTTGCAACAACTTCAGCTTCTGGGAAAGGGTCCATTGTGTAAGACCAGCTGGTCCAGGGCTCAGGGCAGCTAGCCGAGTGGTGGTGGGAGGACCCTGGCACACACCCTGCTGTGGGCTTAGAGGGACTGGCTGCGTGAAAGGGACTTGGCAGAGCAGAGTGGCACGTCCTCCCACAGGGACTTTTCCTGGGGAGGTTCCTTGCCCTGCCCCCCCCCCCCCCCCCCCCCCGGCTTCCCGGACAAGCCTGCTCTGCCCCCCACCTCCCCCCCCCCCCCCCCCCCCCCCCGCCGTTAATCCTTTGGCTTTGCCCCTCCCTCTCTATTCCCTGAAGACAACTGTCCTCCCCACCTTGCTCTACTCTCATCCACGCTAGGGATGACAAATGGATTTATTTCCCTGTAGCAACCCAGAGGCTGTCACTGCCTCAGACCCTTGAAAAGCAATTTCAGGAGGTGTCGAGCCTCGGTGGGGACAGTGCTGTGATTGATTGGTGATGCCTGCTGTGGGCAGGATGGGTGATGCAGACAGCAGGGGGCTGTCTGTGCTCTGTGCTGCAGTCCCCACTTTAGGGGGACGGCAGAGGCCAGGTGAGTGACCCAAGAGAGGTGTTTTCAGGGTTTGTTTGATGTGAGCAGGTATCATCAGATAGATGCCCTTTCTGGATGCAGAAAGCACATGTGCCTTTTTTAGGCATAGTCAGCTATTATGGGGGACAAGGAGAAGGAGGAAGGAGGAGGGCAGCTCGGACCAGAGTCCAGTGGCTCTGACTCTGGAGTTCTCGTTTCTTCTATATCAGGCTGCTGTCCTGTGGTTCCTCCCCGTACCCACTTCCTCCACTTTCTTTTGAAGGGGCCCAGTGGCAAGTCTGATAGTTTCTTGTCACTTCCCTGGGATAAAAAGTCGGTGATGCCAGCTGAGGGGAGAGTGGAGGGCAAGGCCTCGGCAGGGTTCCTGGGAAGCCGCACAGGCAGCAGGCTGGGCCCGTAACCAGCAGGCTGTCTAGCTGTTACCATGACAGTCCCCTGTTCTCTGCAAACAGAGGCGTGCTAGGATTCCAGAATTGGAGAAGGAGGCAAGATGAAGACTCTACTGCTGCTTGTGGGCCTGCTGCTGAGCTGGGAGAATGGCAGGGCAATCTCGGACAAAGAGCTCCAGGGTAAGTGACCAGGCGTGCTCTCCTGGCGTGCTTCCCTGTGTCAGGGCCCCAAGGGTTAAGACCACCTTTGTCCTGTGCATCGGATCGGGTTTGCTCTGCCCGGGCCCCTCTCTGAGCCCTCTCTTGCCGGCCTAGGCTCTCTGTGGTCAGGTGGGCTTCCAGGCAGTTTCAGGTAGACCCCAAGCCCTTTCTGGCTGCTGCAGCTCGTTTGGCTATTCCTCTCCCCGTCTGCTCGGTCCGGCGTCCACACCTCTTCCACGAAGCTCCATGAAGCCTGGACCATTGGAGCCTCTGTGGATTTCCCCTTGAGTTTCCATAGCACTTACTACCTGTATCCGCCACCTTTCCACCTAGAAAACCAATGCTCCGGATTCAGGAAAGGTGGAATATCATTCACTACGAGGGCTTGTCATCCTTCAGAGCCCAGCTGGTGGTTCCCCTCTGCTGCCAGGCCTTTCCTGAAACCTGTCTTCCCTCTGCCCCACTCTTGTCCTGTGAGCTGACTGACTCTCTGGGGTAATAGTTAAAAACCCAAGCGTTGAGCTCAGAGCTGGGTGGAAATCTGGCTCCGCCCTCCCCAGCTGTATAACCCTGGGTAAGTATCTTGATCTCACTGCGATTCTTTATCCTCGATTGTGCAAAGGGGTGAAGACAGTGTCAAGAGTATTAAATAAAATGCACGTGAAGTGTCCAGCTCAGCATTTGGCCCAGGATAAGAACCAGAGAAGCATTGGCTGTTACTTTCGGTACTTTGGTGACATTGTCTCATTACATTTGTCACACGGTGTGGTGTCTGATCACAGTCTCCTTGAAGGATGGTGCTATTAAGTCACCTCTGTGGCCCTGTCACCTGACGCTGCATCAGAACAGCGAAGTTCAGATGTTTGCTTAAACTGCATTGCAGAAAAACTTGTATCCACAATAACGCTATTTATAGTTTGATGCTTAAACAGTTACGCTTCCAGGATTTTTTTTTTCCTTGAAAAATTTCTTCTGCAGCTGGGTAGGCTGCTTCTCCAGAGCTCCAGGAGCGGACTGGGTTGTCCCTCCTCTGGGGCGTGTCCGCTCCGATGGTTTGCATTTCTGAGCAGCTGGGTGTAATCGATTCTCTGGCCCTGAGTCTACAGTGAGCCCTGGGATGGAACCTGTGTCAGGGCAAAGGAGGGGCCCGAAGGCTGCCTGCCAGGGGGATCCCAGCCATGGCAGCCCCTGCACCCACTGTCCTTTCTGACCATTCCAGCTGGTTCCAGGGTTATATCCCCAGCACCATCCCTTCCTCTGGCCTCATCTGCCTCCCTGCTCTTTTCTTGCAGAAATGTCCACCGAGGGGAGTAAGTACATTAATAAAGAAATTAAAAATGCTCTGAAGGAGGTGAAACAGATAAAGACCCTAATAGAACAGACCAACGAAGAGCGCAAATCATTGCTTGGCTCCTTAGAGGAGGCCAAGAAGAAGAAAGAGGTAAGCAGAGCCCGGTGACCCCCACCTTGATCCACTGTGCTGGAGGGAGGGAGGGGCCATTGCTCTTCCGAATTCACTGCCAGGTTACAATACCATGGTGACCCGCAGGCCTTCTCCGGTTGTGTCAGCTGATACTGGGGCTGTGGTTAACAAATGGGGAAGGTTTATTTGCCTTTGAAAGCTTCAAGCAGTGAGATCTTGGATCTGGTTTTGTTACAAGCCTGGCCCAGGGCCTGCCGCCCAGATTCACTTCAGTAGATTTTTCTAAACCCAGACTATGTGCAAGGTCCAAGGCAGGCTTTGGGTAGGGTGTGTCACTGTCACAGGTTAGGAGAGGTATGGCACCCTACCTTCAGGAAGTTTATCTAGTAGGGGCAATACCTTTGGGGGTACAGCAGGCACACGCTGGATTGCCCAAGGCTCTATAGAGTTCTGGACTACTTTGTAAAGAGACAACCAGGTCCAGTGGTGAACATACAAAACTAAAACACTATAATTCAATCAGGAGCTTATTTAAAAAGTCAGTAGTGTCCTTCAGGGTCTCCTCAAAGCCTATTCCCATTGCCACCCTACCCCTAATGACAGAGATGCTGAGATGGGGCCCCCTGCCGCCTTCATGATCCCTGACGCATAGAGTAAAACATGATAAAGACTCAGAAAAGTTGTGCGGTAAAGGAAGCACGTATAACTTCATTTAATCCAAGTGTTTCCCAAATCGAATTGACCATGGAATCCATTTATTTTTTTCCTGATAGCTTGTAGCACAATTCCATGGAAACCACTTAAGGAAATGTTGGCCTGGGCGCAGCTCTAACTTTCTTTGAAACTTAGTACCTTTCTTGGCATCAGTATTAGTTCTCGTCACACTATGAGAAACCTAGAGCCCGTGCAGAAGTGGCAAGTCTTGTTCTTGAATTTTTTTTTTTTTTTTTTTTTTTTTTGCAGCCGCTCCGCGGCATGTGGGATCTTCCCGGACCGGGGCACGAACCCGCGTCCCCTGCATCGGCAGGCCGAATCCCAACCACTGCGCCACCAGGGAAGCCCTTGTTCTTGAATTTTTGCACTTCTCATTGGAGTTTGATATTCGACAATCCAGGTTCTATGATAAAGCAAATCAAGTTTGGAAAAAGGCTCCATGACTTCTTAGTTGAGGAGTATGCGAACAGGAAAGAAAGGAATTGGGCAGCAGAGTTGACGCCTGTGAATTGGCCCAGTAAGAGGCGTGGTGGCCTTCCCCATCTCGGACGAGGGGGGCAGGGGACACAGAGCAAGAGAAGACCTCCCATATTCAGATATTCATAGTGTAGCTTTGCTTTGGGGTATGGATGGTCTACTTAATTCTTTGAAGAGTAATACACTCATTTATCAAGACTTTAATATAGAAAAGCAGAAGTTTTTCCATAACCCTTTTACCTATAAGGACAATTTACTTAACGTTTGATCTATTTCTTACTACATTTTCTCCTCTATACTTTTTGGACAGTGGCTATACTCAAACTCCTGAATTTTTAACATGAAAAATGCTTATTATAATATTTAAAACTTATTACAAACATCCCTTGTAATGCTGTCCTATCTACCTTTTGTAGGTACCACAGTTTCCTTAATTTGTCCCCTAGTTTTGAGCATTGGGGTTGATTCCAGTATTTTTGTTGCCACACATCAATATTGTAACAGATATCTTCAAGCATATGGATTTTTCCTTTATTGCAGGAATTCCTCGGGATAGATTCTTGTAGAATTACTGGATCAAATGTCATGGTCATCTTGGAGAGTTTTGGTAGTAGTGGTGACTTTAATTTTGGAAGCTTACCTATTCCCGTGGCATGCGGGGGACCATGGTTGCAATAGAGAAATAAGATTCAGGGAAGCTTTGAAAGATGACATTTAAATTCCGGAAGTTGAGACTAGGAAGTGGGGTATTAGCGAGAGGGAAGTCCTGGGGTAAAGACTGTAGGTTCAGCGTCAGAGAAAGGAGCTGTCCAGATGGGCTCTAATGGCTGGAAAGGACTAAGGAGCAGTTGGATCTTGAAGACGAGAGGACGTTTAGAGCCAGATGGGGAGGGAATTCCAGGTGGGCAGATGCGGGAACATGTGAGCCAGAGCAGGGGTGGAAATAAGCACCCCATGTGGCCAGGTTGGGCCGGGGGGCCAGCACCACGGTGCCTGCTTGGGGAAGGGGAAGCCGTGGTTTCTGTTGCTAACCCAGCCTCGGTTCTCCTGTAGGATGCCCTGAATGACACCAAGGATTCTGAAACAAAGCTGAAGGCGTCCCAGGGGGTGTGCAATGAGACCATGACGGCCCTCTGGGAGGAGTGTAAGCCTTGCCTGAAACAGACCTGCATGAAGTTCTACGCGCGTGTCTGCAGAAGCGGTTCGGGACTGGTGGGCCAACAGGTGACAAGGGGCCTCGTTTCTTCAGCACAGCCTGGGCTCTGGTTGGGCAGTGAGGAGAACTGAATATGCTTCTTTGGTTCTGCACCCAATTCCAAGTGTGGGGATTTCCCCATCAAGAATTTCTCCCACACCAGCTGGGTGCCCTGCAGTTGAATTCAGCTCTGACCCCATCTACCCAGAGACAGCGTCGGACCCCACGGGCTCAGGGCTCAGTCCCACAGGACGCCTCCCCATCCCCACTGCCAACTTCAGCCGCCGATCACAAGTCCAGGTGGTCACCTGTTTCTGACGGACTGACTGTAGATTAGAGGTTCCCATGACCGCCCCCTTGGGTTCAATTAATTTGCTAGAGGAGCTCATAGAACTCGGAGAAACATTTTACATACTAGATTATTGGTGTGTTATAAAAGGATATAACTCAGAAACAGCCAGACGGAAGAGATGCCCGGGGGAGAGATGGGGAAAGGATGGGGAACTTCCATCCCCTCTTCGAGTTCAACAGTCTCCTGCATCTCATTGGCACATGTGTTCATCAACCCAGAAGCTCCCCAAGCCCATCCTTTTGGGTTTAATGGAGGCATCATTACATAGGTACGATTGATTAAATCATTGACCATTGGTCGTTGATTCAAGGTCCAGCCCCTCTCCCCTCCTTGGAAATCAGGGGGTGGGGCTGAAAGTTCCAACCCTCTAATCCTAGGGTTGGCTCCCCTGGCAACCAGCCCCCATCCCTAGGTGCTTTTGGAAAAGTCACCTTACTAACATAAGAAAAGACACCTTTATTGCTCTTATCACAGGAAATTCCGAGGGCTTTAGGACCTCTTTGTCAAGGACCAGACCAAATATATATTTCTTACTATAAATCACAATATCACAGCTTCATTTCACATGCCGGATGCAATTGATTAGTTCTGGCTGCACTGGGGCCCAGAGTGCTGTGATCAATTGGTAATGTCTGCTACGAGTGCAGTAATGTGGAGTCATGAAAAGCACCTGTGCCAGGTATTTGCCATCTTCCGAAGACTCTCATTCAGCAATTATTAGCTGCCTAACGTAACAAATGGCTCCACAGTATGGAAGAGCCCTGCATCCACTTAAACAGAAGGAATTAAGAATTTTTAGCACCCTGTTATTGACCCTCCCTCTCCTGCGGGCCTTGCTCAGCTAGGGCTCATGAATTTTGCCCTTTCCAGGAGTCCCGTCAGTTGGCCCTTGGCTGAGCAGGTTTGGGGATCACCAGTGGCCAAAGATGACAGCAGACTAGTCTCATGTGACGGACCATGTGACTCTCTCGGCCTCGCAGGTCTTCCTAAGCTCTTCCCCTCGCGGTCGGTAGAATGGAAAGGCACTGACCTGGACAGTTCAGAGATGGGGAGCCAGTCCCAGCCTGGCCTTCTGCCACCTGCTGTGACTCTGAGTTGCCCCGGGTGCAGGCAGGAGGGGCCGGGCCTGGCCCGTCTTGACAACGGGGAAGCACCCCTGACTGTCCCCTGTCTCCTGTCGCAGCTCGAGGAGTTCCTGAACCAGAGCTCCCCCTTCTACTTGTGGATCAACGGTGACCGCATCGACTCCCTGCTGGAGAACGACCGGCAGCAGGGTCATGTGATGGACGTCATGGAGGACAGCTTCAACCGTGCATCCAACATCATGGACGAGCTCTTCCAGGACCGGTTCTTCCCCCGGAAGTTCCAGGACACTCAGTACTACTCGCCCTTTGGCTCGTTCCCAAGGGGATCTCTCTTCTTCAATCCCAAGTCCCGCTTCGCCCGGAATGTCATGCCTTTCCCCTTGTTGGAACCCCTGAACTTCCATGACGTGTTTCAGCCCTTCTTTGACATGATCCACCAGGCCCAGCAGGCCATGGATGCCCACATGCATAGAACTCCCTACCACTTCCCGATGGCGGAATTCCCAGGAGGTTAGAAGGATGGGATGGGAAATCACAGTTCATTGAGATGCTAACCCATTAGATGCTCAGAACTGTGTCCGGGGCTTGGCATGTGTCATCTGAATTCCAGCCCCAGAAACCTGGGGAGGGTGCTCTTATCCCGGTTTGATGGGGAGAAAACTATGACAGGATGGTAAAGGAGCATGTCCAAGGGTTCACAGCTGATAAAGTGGGAGCCGGTCAAATCTAGCCCTGCAGGATTCGGAATCTGTGTTCTTTCGAGTGCACTAAGCTCCTTCCAGCAACTGGAGGGCATGACATTGACTATTTCCTCTAGAGAACTAGACCCCTTTGTCTTGGGAACTCAGGTGGCTTTATGTGGACGCCATGCATATATTGGTGACAAATTATATAATCAGCTCACGGTACAGTTAAGAAAGCTGTTTGTGGCTGTGACCTTAGGGTCTGGTAGAGAATGGGCACACAATGAATATATTTTGAATGAAGGAACTCTAACATGGACACGAGAAGCCAAAACTTTCAGAAGTGATTTCCTTCATTGAACCAATAGACACTCGCTGGCCAAACCCATCTCCTAAATGCTACAGTTTGACCGGCACTGGGCTGTGGCTTGAAACGGATTGGAAACACAGGAGGGTATTGAATTGAACAAGGAGTTTACTGCATATCCATAATGGGGGGCTCCCTGTGTTATAAGGAGGTTCTAAGGTGGATCCTATTCCTGCCTTCAAGGCGCTTGCTGTCTGGCCCGGGGAGAGAAATGAGCCAGACGGAATGCAGAGCAGAACGGGTTATGATGCCAAAGAGAAATACAAGCAGGCAGGAGACGTGCCAGCAGGTGGGGATGGTGGGGTAGGGGGCCGAACCCAGCTCAGGGGGCCCTGGGGACCACCTGCTGGTCCCGCTGCAGGGAGCCCCGATCCGAGCCTGTGTCTGCAGGCAAACAACCAGAGTCCAACCTGCTCTGCCCGCAGAACCATGTCAAAGGGCCAGACAGTAGTGTGGAAGGGCTCTGGGAGATCGCGGTGGTCCGTCTCTGTGTCGCTCTGTATGACTTTCCCTTGTGTGTCTCCAGAAAACAGCAGTGACCGCACCGTGTGCAAGGAAATCCGCCACAACTCCACGGGATGCCTCAAGATGAAGGACCAGTGTGAAAAGTGCCAGGAGATCTTGTCCATGGGTGAGTTGGGGGGCCCCGTGGTCTCCTGTGTCCTCGGGTCTCCAGCACCTCACTAGGGCTGCTTTTATGGGCTCAGATGGATGCGAATTCAAATGCCAGCTCTGTTGCCTTCCAGCTGTGACTCTGGGTGGGGGAGTCCTTTGCCCAGCTCTGCTTGGGTCCCCATCTGGGGTCGCGGGTTAAGATGAGGGGCTGTCCCTGAAGTCGGGAGACAGAATACAAGGTGCTTACCACATGATCCAGCTCACGGTTAACAGGCCGACAGTGGCAGGAGCTGCCGTGCTTTTCTAAAGAGCTGTCATCCTTTGACTTCCCCCAGTTCGTCTGTTCCCAAGGGCCAAACCTAGTAGACGTCCTCATGTTTTGCTGCAGACAGTGAGAGTTTAGGCAGTGTGGATTCTGTTAAACAAACTCTTCCCATGTGTGTGTTACTAAACACTCCTGTAAACACTTTACAAACATTTACTCTTCCCTGGAACAACCGGGGTGGCTACAGTTATCATCCCTGTCTTACAGAGGAGGACGCTCAGTCAGAGAAGGTTTGGTGACCTGCCCAAGATTACATGACGCCCTGGGGGTGTTTGTGGTGTGTTCCCAATCAGTGCTGCTGTGTTCTCTACCCTGAACACGTGGGTCTCTCCTAGCGGTACCCTAGCTTCCCGGCAACTTTCCCTTTGGTAGGTTGGTCCCTGAGGCAGAGGAAATAGCTCCCTTCTGCTGTTTCCTTCGGTTTTATCAGGGGGACTAAATTCTTCTTACTTGGAAATAACACCTGTAAAAGCGGCGGAACACTTCCTGGCCCACAACAGTCTATGCTCGGAAAAAGTTAATTGTTTCCCTTGTACCGAGCGGATCCATCTTACGGCTTTGTTCTTACTTAATACTTTTTGGGTTTGCCCGGGCAGGCCTTCAGAAGAGTGTAAATCACACCGTGAGAGAGTCACGTTAGGGCCAGAAGAAGAGACCTTACAGATCCCCAAGCTCAGATTGGCGCCCCTGGCCCTGATCTTAATGTTCACTGATCACAGCTTCCTGAAACAGCGGTTTCCTTTTCTACATTGAGGAAGACTTATGACCTCTTATCTAAGGTGCTTGCAGCCATTTGAGCAGGTGCTACCCGGGACCTCCAGACTGGAATTTCGCAGCTTCGGTCCTACTGGCAGTTTGGACCAGGTCCTTCTTTGTGGCGGGCTGTCCTGTGCACTGTGGGGTGTTTAGCAGCATCCCTGGCCTCTACCCACTGGAGGCCAGTAGCCTCCCACCCTCACCCCAGCTGTGACACCAAAAAGGTTTTCAGACCTTGTCAAATATCCCTGGGGACAGCACCGCCCCAGGTGAGAGCCACTGCTCTAGACTGCTACCCAGTTCTCAATGACAGTCCTTATTTTCAATGATTCCCTGGTAAGAAGAGTTAAGTTTCGTCATTATATACCTTTTTCAACCCAGTTTATTGTTAATAATCCTATGTCTTGCCCCACCTGACATTTTATTTTATTTTAGTAGAAGTCATTACAGCCACCATGGTGAAGTGTGCAAAGAACTCCCGCTTTCCGCTGACTTGCTTGGGGTTGATGTGTTCTTTTGGGGATATTTTTCAAAAATCAAGGGAGAGAAAAACAGTAGTTTTTAGAGAGAGAGTGTGGGTAGTTCCCAGCCCTTATCCACCTGACAACCTGCAGTGGGCACTTGGTGACCAAAAGCAATGAACTTCCCGGCTCTCTGGTGAGCTTGGCGACCAGCCATGGTGGGCAGGTGGGCAAGCCCGGATGCCCAACCTCAGGCTACTGTGCTCTGTGGCCCGAGGGTCCTGACTGGCTCTTCTGCTACCCAGGCTCTTGGGGCCAGAATTTCCAACTCTATAGATATAGGTGAGCTTGGAGAATTTTCCAGAGCCACAGACTCAGAGTAGGAAGAGCCCAAGTTTAGGAGTTAAAGCCCAGGGTTCAACATCCTGCCCTCGTAAATCGTTCATCCTATGACTTTAGGCAAATGATTTACCGCTTTGGTCCATTCTTGATAATACTTAACGTCAGAATACATCTGACTCTTAGAGATCACGGCTATCCGGAGCACTTGCTGGTGCCTGGTACATAGCCGGTACCATGCAAATGGCAGCTACAAGTAACATCCACCGTTTCCTGAAATGACTAATGGAGGGAAGGAGGGCAGTGAGGTCTGAGCACATGGAGCCCTGAGGTCCGTGCTTCTTGAGGTGTGGGCAGTGCCCCTCATTGCTGGTCCCCAAGGAGACAGGGTCTTGCACCCAAAGAGAAATCAGTGATGTCACTGAGACAGTTTAGTTCAGCTGACATCGTCTCCCAGGGCAAGACTTTCTCAACAAAGGACGCGCATGCTGATTTACACGCGGGGAGAGCCGTCTGTTTTGTCTTGGGCTGCTGGTGAACGCTTGGTGGACTGGAGCTTGGAGTAGCTCTGCCTTAGCTCTGCCTTAGGTCCTGGCTGCTGCGTGAACTGGTTGCCATTTGTTTTCATCCCTTTTTAGCTCTCCCTTCACGTTTCTGTTGTTTGTCTTTTTTCTTTTTCTTTTTTTTTTTTCTAATCTCCGGGCAGACTGTTCAGCCAACGACTCCTCTCAGATGCAGCTGCGCCAGCAGCTGAACATGTCCCTGCAGCTGGCGGAGAAGTTCAGTAAGCTCTACGACCAGCTGCTCCAGTCCTACCAGCAGAAGATGCTGAACACGTCCTCCCTGCTGAAGCAGCTGAACGAGCAGTTCACCTGGGTGTCCCAGCTGGCCAACCTCACGCACAGCGACAGCCAGCACTATCTCCAGGTCTCCACGGTGAGTCTGTCCTGGCCACACACTGAAGCTGGGCTCAAGGTGTTGTCTGGAGCTCATGTGATCCTCCCCCAGGGCTGAAACGGGGTGAAGATGTTCAAGAGCGCATGTCTGCTTTTCACTGAGCATTTGTCGTATGGCAGGAAACAAAAACCTCAGGTCCAGTGGTGCGTGGAAACCTCATCACTCAGTGACGTGGAATGTCATGAACCCATTTTACAGATGAGGAAACTGAGAGGTTCA